GGCGTGGTGGTGCAGGGAGTTCGGGAGAAGCAGTGTACACCACAGAGATACAGGGAGTGGGTGTGGCAGTGTAGAGAGGTCGGGAGAGGCGGTGCAGGAAGGTTGGGTGTGGTGGTGTAAGGAGGTCGGGAGAGGTGGTGTGCACAACGGAGATACAGGAAGTGGCGGTGCAGGGAGTTCGGGAGAGGCAGTATGTACCACAAAGATACAGGGAGTGGGTGTGGCGGTACAGGGAGGTCGGAGAGACGGTGCAGGGAGGTCGGGAGAGGCAATGTGCATCACGGAGATACAGAGAGTGGGTGTGGTGGTGCAGAGAGGTCGAGAGAGGCAGTGCAGGGAGGTCAGGAGAGGCGATGTGCACCACGAAGATACAGGAGTGGGTGTGGTGGTGCAGAGAGGTCGAGAGAGGTGGTGTGCACCATGGAGATACATGGAGTGGGTGTGGTTGTGCAGGGAGGACGGGAGAGGCGGTGTTCAACACTGAGATACAGGTAGTGGGCATGGCGGTGCAGGGATTTCGGGAGGGGAGGGGCAGTGCAGGGAGGTCGGGAGAGGCGGTGTGCACCACAGAGACACAGGGAGTGGGTGTGGCAGATCAGAGAGGTCGGGAGAGGCGGTGTGCACCATGGAGATACAGGGAGTGAGTGTGGCGTTGCAGGGAGGTCGGGAGAGCAGTGCAGGGAGGTCGGGAGAGGCGGTGCAGGGAGGTCGGGAGAGGCGGTGTGTTCCACGGATACAGGGAGTGGGTGTGGCAGTGCAGGGAGGTCGGGAGAGGCGGTGTGCACCATGAAGATACCGGAAATGGGTGAGGCGGTGCAGGAAGGTTGGGAGAGGCGGTGTGTACCACAAAGATACATGGAGTGGGTGTGGCGGTGCAGGAATTTCGGGAGAGGCAGTGCAGGGAGGTTGGGAGAGGCGGTGTGCTCCACGGATACAGGGAGTGGGTGTGGCAGTGCAGGGACGTCGGGAGAGGCGGTGCAGGGAGGTCGGGAGATGCGGTGTGCTCCACGGATACAGGGAGTGGGTGTGGCAGTGCAGGGAGGTCGGGAGAGGCGGTGTGCACCATGAAGATACCGGAAATGGGTGAGGCGGTGCAGGAAGGTTGGGAGAGGCGGTGTGTACCACGGAGATAGAGGGAGAGGGTGTGGCTGTGCAGGGATGTCGGGAGAGGAGGTGGAGGGAGGTCGGGAGAGGTGGTGTTCACCTCTGAGATACAGGGAGTGGGCATTGCGGTGCAGGAATTTCGGGAGAGGCAGTGAAGAGAGACCTGGAGAGGCGGTGTGCACCATGGAGTTACAGGGAGTGGGTGTGGCGGTGCAGAGTGGTCGGGAGAGGTGGTGCAGGGAGGTCGGGAGAGGCGGTGTGCACCATGGAGATACAGTCATTGGGTGTGGGGAGGCCGGGAGGGGTGGTGCAGAGAGGTCGGGAGAGGTGGTGTGCGCCACGGAGCTGCAGGGAGTGGGTATGGCAGTGCAGGGAGGTCGGGAGAGGCAGTGTGCACCACAAAGAAACAGGGAGTGTGTGTGGCGGTGCAGGGAGGTCGGGAGAAGCAGTGCAGGAAGGTCGGGTGTGGCAGTGCAGGGAGATCGGGAGAGGCAGTGTGCACCACGGAGATACAAAGTGTGGCATGCAGGGAGGTCGGCAGAGACGTGTGCACCACAAAGTCACAGGGAATGGGTGTGGTGG